GCCCGGCTTATGCAAATGAAGCCCGGGAAATTCAAATCCCAGGCTTCATTTGCAAGTGCGGTATGCCTACATTACCCCGCTAGTTCGAACTAGTGGGGTAGTGTAGACATACCCTGGCAGGGTTATTTATTAATTCTAGTGTTGTTATATCCCCTGCAGGAAAGGGATGACTGTATTTATCTACTTCTCTTGCAGAGTTTTCCCATACAAATGAGATGCAGCCTACTATGGAACTGAATGAAGCTTTCAATGGTGCAACCTGGGGGTGCCCCTGGCCCCACCTCACACTGATACACTTCAAGGAGCCTGTGCCAAATCTTTCTGGAGCTGTTACAAAGCTCTCCTGGAGGTCAAAGGCTCCATCCCATTAACAGTCCCTTGACTGCCCGGCATTACATTTAGCAGCTAATAGAAGAAAGTTGGTCCCACTTGGGGTTCAGTTTCCTGGGTGCTGAGCTTTCAGAACTGGGTCCTCCTAGAGCTGAAGTGTCTGCATTGCTCTGCGAGGATAGCGGGGGGGGCAGACTTACCCCAACTCTGTGCCATCTCTGGGGGGATACCAGAGATCTGGCCCAGCAGGACAGGGTGGTGGGAGGGTCCCAGAGAGAAAGAAGGCAGTTGTCTGTGGTGTGATCAGCACACCGGGGAACAACCCCAAGGGGATTTCTGTGATTGCACCACTCACCATTGCATCTATAAACAAAATCAGGATTTGACCCACAGACTTCACTGAGGGCAAATTCTCCCAATAGAGCCGGGTTGGAAAACCTGCCTGGGAGTCGCATGTGGCCCACTGGGGTTCTATGGGTAGCCCATGAGACATTTTGTTTACTGCTGCCCATGCACAGGGTTGCCAGACTCTGCTGGTTACTGAAGTGACACACAAGTAAAGCAAGGCCACGGGACGTGAGGTGCGTGCTGACTGCCCACAGCATTGACTGTGAGAGCCGGGCGCTCCTGCCGCATCCAGTCAGAGCCCTGCTACGGTTCCATCAGCAACCCCTGCACATTCTAAGTCCACCAACTCAGTGAGCAAAACTACCCTGTCCCGAGAGACCATCTTAGTTATGACAATCTTGCGGCCCACTGAGACAAAGGAAGCCACTCATGCGGCCTACTCTCTAGCCTAAGTTGCCCCTCACTACAGTGGAGGATCACGTATAAGTGACATTTTCTCCAATCTATGGATTATCCAGATGGTTACTGAAGATCATCCAATGCCTAAAAGGTTCGTTTCAAGGCTACCAATAGACCGATAAAGATCTCCCAATAAAATGTCTTAAAGCATCATGAGAGTGACTGGCAACATACCCTGTTTAGAAGGCTCCTAAAGCAATCTATCCAATGAAGGGGTTGAACCCCAATAAGAACCAGGTCTGGGCTAATGAGACATTTGACCACACTAGGCTGGATTTTGCCCAAGTTTGATGAGAAAAAACCTGGCCTGATTTGAGCAGAGAGAGAGATAGAGGAGAGATTTACATCGTCAGGTAGAAACCAGGCAGAACTCAACAAATGTCAGATTCAAGTTGCTCTGAGTTCTAAGATGTGTTTGAACTAGAAAGCCCTTGGTGTGAGTATTCCTGAAACTTGGCATCTGGGTCCAGATCTGAACTTTGTTTGACCGGCAACTAAGCACCTATTGTTACAATGGACCGTGGAACAAACACCTATTGACCCTTCTCTTCTGTCTCAACCCTACTTACACGTGGTAACGTTGCCGGTAACCGGAAAGGAGTTGCCTTCGTCATAAACGGAGCTGACACTTATGAAGTACTGGGTGCGAGAGGACAGAGGTCTCAGCACAGTGGATGACGCATTGCTGGGGACTTGGATCTGCAGAGAAACAGAAACACGAGGGTTAGCAGAGCAACATGGAGCAAGGGCAAAGAGGGTCTTAGGTGGTACAGTTGCCTGGCAGGGAGGTGAGCAGCCTCTCTCTGGAGGGAGCAGAGTTCTTGGCAGCATACTGCGCGATGATGCCTGTTGCACAAAAAGGGGGGGGGGACTTACTTCAAACCACGTGTAGCATGTGATTCCATATGAAGGGTCTGGACTTTTCAGAAGGGCCCATGGAAATGCCTGCACATACCTTCCCACTGTGCTAAAAGGGCAGACAGCCCAGCCCTAACTGTAGGGATCTCCTGTTTCCCTATTAGCCTGTCTTCTTGGCCATGGTAACACCCCTGCACACAGGCCCGCTGATGGGGGGGGCAATGGGGGCAATTGCCCTGGGTTCTGGTGATTTAAAGGGGCCTGAGGCACCTGCCACTTCTGCTGCCACAGTAGCAGCAGCGTTGTCACCTGGGCCCTAGACCCCTTTCAATCACCGCCGGAGTGCTGGGCTGCATCCTCTGAGCAGCGCTAAAGGCTGGGGGGAGGGGTGCACCATGCTCTGGGCAGTGCTGAAGACTGGCTGCCTTTGGCCCCACCCTTTCCATCTTTGGCCCCATCCCTTTCTGTAGTGTGGAGCTGCTCCCCTGGTGTTACCCAGGGGCCCGTGTAGGCCTTCAGCTCCACTGCCTGCATAGGTATAAAGCAACTGAGAATCAAGCCGAACAGGCTGCATTGTGCTCTCGGTCACTCTGGATGTACATGGGTGTTACTCCACAGCCAGGTCACCGGAGAGAAAATTGCATTCCCCCTCCATCCCCAGTCTCCTGGCTTTAGCACATGACTGTGCTCCCTAAGCAAGGACTTGCCTCCCTCGCATTGCTCCCTCTGCTGGATACGTAGGTCACACGGTGAGCTCTCACAGCACGTGAAGCTGCTTCCCAGCTGACCTTGACAGACCCGTGGCTGATCTCAGAAAAACTCAGGTGTCCGGGGGGGCTCAGGGCCACTGCAACAATAAATAGCAAGAGGACGTGGTGAAGATTTTTAAGCCTATAATTGTCAAGCCAACTGGTTGCCTCCTGCTGCAATTTCCATTGTAACTGCTGGACTGTGGAATGGAAGAGTTTCTTATTTCATTGTTACATACGGTATATAAGGCCCTGGGAGATGCCTAGTGTAGTGAAAGGGCCAAATTAACTCATCTGCTCCCCAAGATACAAAGAGCTCACACTTTCAGGAACATCTGGATCCTAAATTTGTCCAACAATGGGCCAAATGCACTGGGCTAGACTCTCAGATGTCATGGAGGGGTGTGTGCGGTATGAGAACCCAAGTGGATAAAGATATAGACGCAGGTATGTAACTTCGGTTCTGAATACTCCACATTTGGAGCCACTTTGGATCTAGAGCTGAGCTCATTCTGAATTTCAGGGAGATTCAGTCAGTTGGCCTAGACAGAACCGCTCACTTTCCCAGCCCTATACCCCACGCTAGACTTGCCATAAGAAAGCTGAGCATACAACTAGAGGTATCCTCAGAGAGCCACCTATAGATTTAGCACTAGCCATGGAAGAGCAAGCCTGTTTACACACTATGTGAAAAGCACCTGAAGCATCTCAGGCCAGGTCTATACTAGATCCAGAAGGTTGGCTTAAGGTATGCAACTCCACCAACATAAATAACATAGCTGAACTGACATACCTTAAGCCAAGCTTGGTGCTGTCTTCACAGTGGGAGGCCAATGGGAATAAACGTTTCTGTCTGGTGCTGACCAGGGAGGGAGCACTCTCATCATTTGATTTAGTGGGTCTTTACTAGACCCATTAAATCAAATGCCAGAAAATCGATCTCCGGCAATGTAAGTATAGATGTGGCCTTAGTTAATATGCGTCTTGCTATTTGTGCACTATTCATCACACCACTTATGCTCCTGCCTGGGGGTTAATTGAGTAAAAGAAGGAAGCAACACTTACAGGTGGTTTCCTGGATGCTGGTCGGATCACTTGCCTCTTCCCCAGACATTGCGTACACTGCTATAGAGTACTCAGTGCTGGGAGACAGCCCATCCAGCAGAACCTCAGGCTGTTCCACTTTCACCTACCGTAGGATAAAGAGGGATGCTCAGAGAGTTACTCTGTGCTGAGACTCTGCCTCAGTTGGCTCCCCACACCGCCCTTAAACAAACCCAGAGCAAAGCAGGACTGCAGAGACAGGAAACTGAGGCCTTGTCCGATTTTGGGGGTATCCTAGAATCATAGAATCATAGCGCTGGAAGAGACTTCAGGAGGTCATCAAGTCCAGCCCCTGGCCCAAAGCAGGACCAACCCCAACTAAATCATCCCAGACAGGGCTGTGTTAAGCTGGGACTTAAAAACCTCTAAGGATGGAGATTCCAGCCCCACCCTAGGTAACCCATTCCAGTGCTTCACTATCCTCCTAGTGAAATAGTTTTTCCTCATATCCAACCTAAACCTCCCCCTACTGTAACTTGAGACCATTGTTCCTCGTTCTGCCATCTGTCATCACTGAGAACAGCTTCTCTCCATCCTCTTTGGAACCCTCCTTCAGAGAGTTGAAGGCTGCTATCAAATCGCCCCTCACTCTTTTCTGCAGACTAAACAAGCCCAAATCCCTCAGCGTCTCCTCGTAGGTCATGTGCTCCAGTCCCCTCATCATTTTGGTTTCCCTCCACTGGACCCTCTCCAATGCGTCCACATCCTTTCTATAGTGGGGGGCCCAGAACTGGATGCAGTACTCCAGATGTGACCACACCAGTGCCAAATAAAGATATGTCCACACTTTAATCCAGGGGACAATTCCCATCTTTAGAAGACAAATTTGCATTGGCTGTCATTGAGCAAAGTTCGCTGCAAATATAATGTAACCATAGCAGCATGAACTGCAGGACAGGCTAGCTACTCTAGGTACACGGCCACCGGGTTTGGGTGAATTTGTACTCAGGATGGCTAACTCACACCACTGCTTGCTGTTGCTCACATGACTATGACTACACTATTTCTAGCCTGATAGCTCAATGAATGCTGGCATGAGTATGTCTTCTCCAGCTTGGAATGGTACCCCCAGTTCCAGCTGGAAGACACTGCTCTAGAGGATACTTGTAACATTCTTCTCTCCTCATGCAGCTACATTGCTGGGGTCTGTTCTTCTCAGCAGCTCAGCCCAATAGACCTCACAGCACAGGATATGCAAACTCTGGAGTGAGTGGGGAATTTCTCCCCTGAATGTGTTTTCCACCCCCAAAATGCCAAACCAGCTCATGAGAAAAGGTAGGTTTCAACACATTTTCCAACTGAAACCAAATTTTTTTTAAAAGTTGAAGCATCCCGGTCTGATATTTTCTCAACAAAAATGTTTAAATTTAACTTAATTTATACTTTAAAACTGGTTAAACAAACTAAAAAGGGTCAAAATCAAGTCAAGATGTTTTGGTTCCTTTTCAAGGAGAGGCAGAATCGTCATCTGTCTTGCATGGTTTAGGCACAACAAATTCTGCATCTTGGCAGGGGGTTAGGTTGGAAGACTCTTCTGGTCCCTTCTAACACTGTGTTCCTATGATTGAAACATGCTGGAATTCTTGTCAGTCTGTGTGTGTCTAAACTACATGGCTCCATCGATGGAGCCATGTAGATTAGGCTGATCGGCAAAGGGAAAGGAAGCCGCTATTTACATAATCGCAGGTTCATTTAAATTTAAATGGCTGCCGCGCTGAGCCGACAAACAGCTGATCAGCTGTTTGTCAGCTCAGCGTGCTAGTCTGGAGGCTCCCCTGCCAACATGAAAGCCTTTTATCGACCTCCCTGGTAAACCTCATCCTACAAGGCATAACGGGGAGGTCGATAAAGGGCTTTCATGTTGGCAGGGGAGCCTCCAGACTAGCACGCTGAGCTGACAAACAGCTGATCAGCTGTTTGTCGGCTCAGCGCGGCAGCCATTTAAATTTAAATGAAGCCGCGATTATTTAAATCGCGGCTTCATTTCCCTTTGCCGAACAAACAAATCTACATGGCTCCGTCAACGGAGCCATGTAGTTTAGACATACCCTCTGTCGGGTCATGAACATTTTAGATATTTTTTTGTCCCAATTGGATAGAGGAAACTTTTCTGAAATCTCAAAAGTACTTGAGAAATCCACTTGTACCCAGCTCAACTATACATTAGCACAGGAGTGGGCAATAATTTTTGATAGAGGGGTCATGCCAAGATTTTGGTAGGTGGTCAAGGGCTGCACTTTTCTATGGAGGAGGCATTGGATTTGGGGGTTGGATGCTGAAGGGAGCTCGGGGTAAGGGACTGTGGTGCAGGAGAGGGTGTGGGGTCTGAGAGGGAGAATAGGTGAAGGAAAGGGATGTGATCTGGGGCAGGGGATTGGGGTGCAGGGTTCATGAGGGGGGTCTGGGTGCAGGAAAAGGATTCTGGCCTGAGGGAGGGTTTGGGAGGGGTGCAGGGTCTGGAAGGAAGCTGGGGGGAGGGAGGGTTTGGGGTGCTAGAGGCAGGCTGTGGCTGAGAGGTGCTTATCTAAAAGGGTGCTCCCTTTTATCGGCACTGGTCCCTGCTTCAGTCATTTTTTCAATCATTTTTTTAAAAACCAAAAAGAAATTTTCCACTGGAAAAAATAAATAGATGACCAATTTTCAGTCAGCTCTAAATAGAATCTAGTAGCCCAAATCACATGTCAGGGATAAGCTACAACAGCAGTTAAAAAATAAATCTGATTCCTTCTGAGCATGAAGAAAGCATCAGAACAGTCATATCGCCATCTCTTTCATTCGCAGAGGTTCAGCACAGAAAAACATCACAGCACAATGATTAGGGGAGGAGATGTATTCACACAGGGTCCAGCTGTGTAACTGAACGGTCTCTAAAATTCCACTGATGGCAAAGTTATTAACCTGCCAAAGCCCAAACAGGGTGCCGCTGGTGAACAAGTCACAGGATAGAACAAACAGCTGCCGAAAAGAGTTTTCACAGTCTCACCAATCGACATTTGTGATGCAAAAGGCTTTTCCATTAGAGATGAATTTGGATCAGTGCAAAGAATGTGAGATTCCATTTCCTGAGATAGACTTGAAGAGTGATGCTTGCAGAAGAAAAAAAACCTCAACAACAAAAAACAAAACAAAAAACAAAACCCCTTTTCCTTGACCTTCTCATTTCTGTACTTGTTCATTACAGCAAGATTGCCACCACCTACTGTCTCCAGAGCAGAACTGCACCCGGGCACAGGCAGCCTGGTTTGCAATGCTAATTCTTGCAAAACCCAGACAGCAAAATGTAACTTAAGAAACATTCGCGGAGTTTTTCATGGAAAGATGAATTTGGTGGGGTGAGAAGCATTGGCCAGACACACTGAGTTCATTACTCTTATTTTGGATGGCCCAGAGTTTCAGTGCTTTAATTTCTGCATCAAGCCGGTGGGATAATCATGGAACTGCCCAGGTCCATATACAAAAAATGACCTTTAGCCCATCCCAATATCAAATCTGAAAGACACCATTTCCATACTGCAATGCTGAGCAAAGTGTAGTGCAAGCATGAACGACTGAACCTTCAGAGCAACCCTGGGTTGCAAGTGCTATGAGCCCCCATCTTGATAGGTGGGGATACCAAAGCAGAGCCATTACACAACTTGCCCAGGGCCACCTAGGGAATAAGTGGCAGAGACTCGGAAAGCTTGGCTCCCAGACTCAGGTTCCACTAACTAGACCCACATTACTTCTCAACTCTGAGCAAGGAGATCGTAGACTTTTTTGACAATATGTTAACCTCTAGGTCCCTCATTGGAGAGGTTTGAGACCGATCCTTGAATGATTTGAGAGCCCCCTTTCTCCTTCTTTCTACTGGATGGTATTATTTCAGGTGTATCTAAAGCCGTAAGTGTCATATTTAAGTAAGTACCTAAAAACTGACCTGCCCGACGGACATTTTCAGACCCAAAACATTTTTTCATTTTTGTTTGGCAAATGACTAGGGCTCTGGCCTGGGGCTCAGGAGACAAGGTTCAATTCCCCAGTCTGCCACTAGCATGCAATATGATTTTGGGCAAGTCGCTTCCTTTCTGTGCCTCAGTTCCCCCATCTGTAAAATGGAAATAATAATACTGACCTCCATTATAAGACACTTTGAGATCTACCGGTGTGAAGTGCTCTATAAGAGCCATGGATTGTTATTGCTAAAGATGGGCTCATTCCACCACAGTTTGGATCCAGATACAAATTCTCTTTAATTTTAACTTTCATCCCAGGACTTACACTTAGCCCTTTACAGAACTAGAGGGTAGCCAGGATGTTTTCCCCCAGATCTGAACCTTCCCAAAGCCTGTATGGATTCAGATCTACTTCGTCTTAGAGGAGATTTAAATGAAAGTCAATTATGTATCTCTTATGCAATGCTGGGGTTTAAGTTTGGGCCCCGTATCCCTGGCTATTCCCAGCAAGGCACAAGGAAAAGCTGTAACTCCCCAGCTCTACCTCTTTGGTATCATCCTCCGCTCCGTTGGGGGCTGCTGAACAGAGCACCAGGTACTGCGTAGCTCCACTTGCTGGCTGCCAGCTCAGTCTCAGGCTGTTGTGGCTCACTTCGGATGCTCTCAGGGAAAGGGGTGGTGACAAAGCTACTCAGATGGAGCAAAAACAGAAAAAGGTTTACAAGGAAGTTGAGCATTTCTGTATGTAAATCCCTCCCCCACCCACACACACACACAGATACCCATGCACACCAAGATTCCAAGATAGCAAATCACAGCAGTGCATCAGAGCAGGTAAGGGAAAGCTATTTGGGGAGATATGTGTCTGATGCTTCTATAATAGAGCCTTATTGGGGTTTCCGTTAGGCATATAAGTCTTCGACGTGTGAAACAAAGACGCATATCACTCCCAGGCTATGGCTACACTAGGAAGGGTTGGCGACAAAGTTGCTGTCGACATGCAAAAGTCGCCAAAAGTGAAAATCGGTCAAATTGGTTTTTCTGCCCCCATTGTCGACATTTCATGGCCACATTGCAAACACCCTGTCGACAGACAAAGCAAAGCAATGTGGGTAAACATCCTACAGTGCAGTATTGTGGGAAGGCAGAGCTGATCCCTGTGCTTCTCAGGATTCCCTAGGAGCTCTGTGAGCTCTCCGTGCTGAGGAATGTCAAAGCAACACAGCAGCCTCTCCAGCCCTCCCCCTGCAGCAGCAGTGTTCCTACCGCTGTGTGCCTAGTGCAGGGCAGAACAGAAGCATTCTAATTATTTGTTCTTTGTTCCCTAAATAGAGCAGCTCACTCAGCTGTCAAACACTGCCCGAAGCTTTGAAAGGGGAGGAGTGCATGCACGCGGGGCAGCAGAGATCACAAAATACTGAGCAGAGCCATCAGGGCAAGCATAGTGGGATACTGGCAGAAGCCAGTTCTCTCTACGAAACAAACAGCAGAGCTCACACTGGTTCTTTGTCAACCATAAAGGGAGGGAGAAAGACAAAGTCTCTTGCAGGGCTGGAAGTTATTTGTTGACAAACCTGGGTATTTTTCCCACCAAAAGTCTCATTGCAGTATAAACACTCTTACAGTTTTGTTGCCAAAAGGCAGTTTTTGGTGACAAAATGTGCCAGTGCAGACGAGGCCCCGGGCACAATCATTCCTTGTCATGTGCTCTTTTAACACCAAATTTTCCTTCAAGAGAAACATGGTTTAGCAAACTTTAGCAATGAAAAGGAATAATTCAGAGAGTGAGTACCAGGACTTAGGAACCTTCAGACAAACTTGACAATGGTTAGGCAACTGAGACGACTGCCTATCACACCAAACAATATTGTCTCATTATTTCCTTGTACTTCCCTGACTATCTTTATCTACCCATTGTTGTTTGTAAGATCTTTGGGGCAAGTGTGTATGTGTGTACACACACCACTTAATACAATTGTGTCTTGGTCTATGCTCCCTCTAAATTTTTTCCACCCAAGTGCAGAATAAATTGTGTTATGTGCACTGAAGCATGTGTGGATGTGCACCACCAGTAGAGACACATGCTGCCAGCTGTGGGCACTGAGGGTGCTCTGCTAATCACTTGGGTGACATTTGAAACTGTCATCGGTGGCTGACCAAGCGCTCAGCTTACAGTGCTCTGGGTTATGCTTGGATTGCCTAGACACTTCCACAATACAAATTAATAATCATTTGGAACTCAGAGTAAAAAATCAGAAGCAACAGGATCATTGAAACTCTCATCGGTGGCTGACCAAGCGCTCAGCTTACAGTGCTCTGGTTTATGCTTGGATTGCCTAGACACTTCCACAATACAAATTAATAATCATTTGGAACTCAGAGTAAAAAATCAGAAGCAACAGGATCAACATTTAAATTTCTTGAAATCTATAGAGTCACAGCTGGGCAAATTAAAGGCACAGCTTGCTCTTGAATAGCGGTACCTGGAACACATGTCTCTCTTGTGGCTCTTTTCTTTTTTCAGCAGTCAACACAGAGTTCTTTCCCCTGGCTCACGCCAATCAGCCCTGGTCCATCTCAGTGTTTAACAGCATGAATGCATTTTCAATGTCTAGGCTTACATTTGGCCCCGTCTTGACCCTTCAGGGGATGTACTGGGGAAACGTACAATTATTTGGGGAAACTTTCAATTATTGCACCACAGAGGAATAGCAAGGATCTCCGACATTTTAAAAGCAGAGCAGCCATGGGCACACAAACCGGAAAAGAAGCACACAAGAGAAGGGGGTGTAGAAAAATGAACAAGCATGTGCAATGTGCTGCCAGTCACATGATACCATAAAATTCCTGAGACTGACCGTCATTCCACTAGCATTGTAGCATTCAGCCCAGAGACCATAATCTGGGCATAGAAGAGTATGGAATACATGAAGGTATAATTACAAAAAAATGTTTAAAAAAATCTTGATGCTGAGTCCAGTATATCTGACTAACATTTTTTCTTCCTGACAGGTTGATAAATAGCAGATGTTCTCCCCAAAGGAAGAGAACATATCCCCATATCTGTTTATGGTCCAACATTATCTCCAGAAGTTCTGATTAACTCTCAGTCATTCAAAGACACTTACTGGAGTCAAAGCGGAGGGTTGCCTGATGCTACAAGATTCCCCCGCACACTTTTTTCTTACACAGAACATTGTGTTTATCCATAGCCTGCTTAAAGAGCTTACCCAGACATCCCTACACATGGGCCAACCACTCAGGAGCTGGGTGAAATGGTCAGGAGATCAGCAAAGAGAAATGGGGTTTGAGGAAGGGGGTGAAAGGTGCTTGGGGAAGAGAAGAGAGAAGTTGCCCAAAGCAGAGAGGGATGCAGTAAAGGTGAGACTAGCGCCCTCTAGCCATGACCTACATGTCGAGGTCATGCCTCTGAGCCCATCTCCAATGGCATTTTCATAAATAGGAAACACCGAAACCAGGTATTCTGTGTGCGAGGTCAAGTTGACAAGCTGGGTGGAGGAGGCAGATCCATCTAGAACGACCTGAAAACACAGGGAAAGGTGGTAAGAAGTTAACGGCATCAGGAGTGCTGTAGCAGAGGAAGCAACCAGACCCAACTCTACCTAGTGACCATGCTGTACCTTGGACATGAAAACTGACTGCCCTTGTAACTTCATACAAGCGCATGTTACCCTAGGGGACTTCTTGCCTGCCCCAAATAAAGGAATAAGAGGCTATAATGGAGCAGCTGCCCCACTCTGGCAGGGAAAAGGTTAAAAGCAGGTGGGAGGGAACCTGTGCAACCGTGGCCAATCAAGGCAAAGGGACAAGTCAGCCAATCGGGGCCAGCCTGGGCACTCTAAAAGGCTGCAGGGCTGAGGGGAGCTCAATTGGGCCTGACTAGCAAGGGAGAAGCACCTTGGACAGAGCGGTGCTGGGCAGGCTCAGGGGAGCAGAGAGAGGGAACTGATAGCTGCCAGGCTGTCAAGCCCTGTGGCCTGGATACAGGGGCTGAGAAGGTGCAAGAGTCAGAGGGAAGCATCCTGGGGACATGGGGAGTGATGGCAGGCAGGAGATGGCTGCTGCTAGAGGTACCTTGATTGGGACCCAGAGTAGTGGGTGGGCCTGGGTCCCCCCTTCCCTCTTGCATGGCATCTTGTCACCACAGAGCGTGGCCACTGTGGCTTGCCACTGAAATGAGGCACTAGACTTTGGGGCTGCAGTTGGCCTCTGAGGCAGGTGACTGGACGAAGGGCTGCTGATACCCCCTCAAGGGGAAGAGAACGGAGAGGGGGGCAGTCTCCTGAAGCAGACGCTGTGGTGCCGGGAGCAACGTGGGCCCAGCTACAGAAGGCAGAGACAGGAGAGCGGAGTGACAATGGGCAAAGCACAGTGCACTCCATGGGCAACTGAGCTAATTCCCACCCTGACCAGCAGGAGGTGCCATGGTGATGCATTGTGCCCGTTGCAGACGCCCTCAATAAAATAAAAAAAGCTTTTTAGTGTGTTTGTTTTTCTGAGCCACAGCATCTACCCTGGGTAACTGGCTTATGCTCAGTGGGAGCTACCACTCCGCTAGAGACATCACCCCCTCCCCATACTACCAATGGGAACTAGCTCCATTATTTAAGCTAGTTGCCCCAACTTTCTAGTAGCTGGGGGAATAAACTCTCTTGAGATGGCCATGGCAGCAGGCCAGGAAAGGAGAATGTAAGCCAATGCAGACTAAGTAATCTGGATGGCAGCTTAGAGGGACACCGAATCTGCTTCCCTCTAGTACTTTGCAATCACAGCAACTCATTGTCACAGGAGGAATAGGCCAAAGCGTGTAGCAGCTACGCAGGGAATTGCAAACCTGTACTTCTGCCCAGGTGGAAGCCTATCGTGAAATGAATGCAGGCGTATACTTACTGGGCCAAAGACTGACCAACCGCACACAAGTCAATGGAGTTCTACAGTTGTAACGGAGGAAGAACTACCAATAGCAAGACCCTAAAAGTTTCAGCCTAGAAATAAGACCCAGACTTATTTCTAGGATTCCAACCGAATGCAAGATACTTTACAGATAAGAATGGAGGGAAAATCCCTGCCCCAAAGAGCCTACAATAAAAAAAAATCACCTACACAGGAGGTGAAGAGGGTGGCATAAGGGAGACAAAAAATCAGCATAAGCATGACCAAAAAGCACAGCCCTTGTCATTTCCAATCAGCGGGCTGATAATATTGACATGCACCTCAGATTAAAAATCATCACACACTAAGCACCCAACAACTGTTGACTTCTGAAGAGAGCGCTGTGCTTAACCATTTTTTACGGCTATTCAAACCTGTCCAAGTCTTCCCTAGTTTCCAGCCACACACACATGCAAACAGGCTCTCTGACCTCTTGGGGAATTCCACCCCTGGAGGGGTAATATACAATTCTGTACTTCTTCGGCTGTCTTAGCGGAGGGGTCCAAGTAAGCTGCATGCTTCTGGAAGTCACCTCTGATATGATAAGGTTGGTGGGGCTCAGATGGGGACCAGTAGTGACTGAGACATTTTTCACGGGACTGCCTATGAGTTTAAAAAAACCGTGTTACTTTCTCACGTTATCTTAACGTGCCAAATGCACTTTCTGCTTTATAAAATGAAGTGACATCCTAATCCAGTTACAGCCTTCTTCCTTACATGTATAGGAAGTGTTCCAGCTTACCACGAAATACACATTTAAAAATTGGTCCGTGGGAAGACTATACAAATCCCATTATGAACAAATTGAGTGTTTTGTTGGAGGCTGCGATATATTTTACATTTGAGCATGAGTCACTGCCCATCGATTCAACAGACAGGGCTCAGCAGTTGCCAGTTCCAAAGGTTTTGCCAGAAAACAATCTTTTTTAAAAAAAGAACAGCCCATTTGCTCTGGACGATCTCAGGCCTGAGGAAAAATGGATCTAAGTACATGAAACCAGATACTGATCGATATGGAAGAGATCAATGGTTTTGTGAAATTCCAAACCCACTTGAATAAAGGTGCACTTGAAAGTTGAGTTCTCCCATTCTATTTCAGGAGAAGCAATGAAAAAAAATGAGCAGAGGTTTAAAAATTGGGGAGGGGGGAATCACGCAAATATCTAGTTCAGCCTAGGTCTAGTTTCTCTAGCTAAAAATAAACCACCACGATTATTTTTAATTCTCCCTTGGAAATTTAGGGCTTGAAATACAGGTGAAAAAAGGCTCATGCTCAATAATTTTGCAATCTCTCCAGCCCTCCCCCTCCCCCCCCCAAAAAAGCCAAAAGTGATCACAAAGGCATCCTTCACTTTGGACAGCTCCAGGATGAGCTAAAAAGGCAGCGGCGCAGCCGCATAAGGAGAGTTTGGAAGAGACCAAGTTGAGAATACATGTGCATGAGATGGATAAGATGGGATATGTCTAGACTGCAAGCCTCTTTCAAAAGAGCATCTAGACTACAACCAGTACTTTCGAAACAGCAAGTCACTTTTTCGAAAGAGAGCACCCAGGCAGTCTGGATGCTCTCTTTCGAAAAAGCACAGATTGCATTACATAGCACCTTTTTTTGAAAGAGTATTTTAAAAAAAAAGGCGTTATTCCTCATAAAACGAGGTTTTCTGCGGTCGAAAAAAAAGCCGCCTTCTTTCAATTTACTATTGAAAGAACGCGGCAGTAGTCGAGACGCAGGGGAAGTTTTTTTTTTTTTAAAAAAGTCCACTTTTTTTTGAAAAAAATCCTGTAGTCTAAACACACACTTGGACGGGTAAGTCCCGCTCCACTCTCCACCCCAGTGATTTTCTCTGTTATTTATATACAGTACCACCCACTGCATACTTTCCAACTGCCCCCCAAAAAATCTCTGCCCCATCTGCTCATGATCTAAGGAGTCTCAGAGGGGTAGCCATGTTTGTCTGTAACTTTAAAAACTGTAGTCCTGTGGCACCTCAAAGACTATCAAAAATATATATAGTCTCGTGCGCTTTTGTGGGCAAAACCCACTTCTTCAGATGAGCTTGAGTGGAGAAGGACCTAAGGAGAGAGGGGAAAGGAAGGGAAACAACACACATTTATATCAATTCATCTCATCGCGGGAGCATGGCAGAAGTGGGTCTTTGAGCGGGACTTTAGCACAGCGAGGGCAGAGAGCTTGCAGATGAACCAAAGGAGACTGTACCATGCACAGGGGATCACGTGGATGAAGGTGAGTGTGTGTGAGGGAGACAGACAGATGGAGAAGGTGAGAAGTCCTGGCAGAGCAGTTGAGACAAGGAAAGAGGATACATAGGCAGAGGTGGTGACAATAAGCTGATCCGATGTGACAACAGCTGGGAAGCCAATGGAAGGATCTTAGGAGGTGAATCAAAAGGACAGGTGAGGAAGAGGAGTTTAGTGGATGCATGTGGCAGGCGCTGCAGGGCAGAGAGGGGAAGCCATGATAGCTAGTGGGACCAGACATTCACTGAAGGCTTTCACTCACCTGTGTTTTCACTCTTGAGCTTCTCTTTGATCCTGGTGCACAAGACCCAGGTGAGCCTGCTGACCAGCGAGCTGAGGAGGGGGAAATCCAGCACATTATACACAGTGAGCTCCAGGGGTTCTGATGCCACCTGCCTCAGCTCTGCCTCGTCTGCGTTCTTCACCCCTAAAAAGAGAGTGCAAAGAGCCAGTCAGCTGAGAAAACTCTCAGGAGATGAGCAAGATTCAGGGCCAGAAAAAGGTCTTTCCTCTAATTAATGCCCCTCTTCAAGGGCCCAGTACAAATGCAGTCTCTTGGCAGAAATGCCTCCTAGCCTTCCCCGTGGGGTGGCACTATTCTGCATTGCCCTAGAGGGTTACCTGTAACTACAAGTACAATGTGGCCTTTCAGGAGCAGGTCTTGAATGTGTTTAAATACAGTGGATACAGGAGGTCTTCACAGTTCCAGAAGCAAAACTTGCAAATCCTAATCTAATCCCTTGTATCCTGTTGCTGCAGGCCTGGCTACCACGGGGACTTAAAATATTTCACTAAAGGACAATCAGAACATATGTAGAAATCAGTGAATGAATAAATAACACTTTGATATTTACGAGGTGCCAGCTTCCCGCACGGAGAATCTGCTGTTCCCTAGAACATAAAGCTCCATCACAAATCCTTGTTATTCTTTCACCACATCCAGCCCCACAGACCATCTGTGCGCAAAGGGGCTGATTCTCTTTTCCTCTGCATCTTGGGTATTCCGTGGCCCATATGGAAACCAGGTCCCAATCTGGAGCCTGTTTTAGTTCTTCTCGCTTGTTTTTTACAGATATAAATGGTGATACATGGTGCAGCACAGTGACGAATCAGGTGCAATACCTGATGTCTGTCGAATGCCTTGTGCTGCCCTTGCACACTGGAAATGTGGAGGGAAGATCCTGGTAAAATTGGTGCAATTGCAGCATTAAAGAGGGGCCCATGCAGAGACCCCATGTAAGTCAGATGGGGATCCAGCTATTAGCATGCAATCCTCTGGGGAGATTTTTCTCTTGAGATTTGCTTTGCATAACATGCAAAAAGTAACTAACCAATGCCAATAGAAACAACAAGGAGTTCTGTGGCACTGCAAAGACTTAACAGATTTATTTGGTCATCAGCTTTCATGAGCAAAACCCACTGTCACAAGCCTTGGAGACAGCTGACAGTGGATTTTGCCCATGAAAGCTGATGCCCAAATAAATCTGTTAGTCTTTAAGGCAGTGGTCACCAACCAGTCGATCGGGATCTACCGGTAGATCTTGGAGCCTCTGGCAGATGATCCTGACAGGTGTGGCCAAGAAGCTGACAAGCGCTGCACTGCAGCTGCCCCTCCCCCCACTGCTGAGCATCTCCTGCCCTTTGCCTTGGAACTGTCCCCTCAGGAACCTCCTGCTTTTTGGGCAGGGGAGTGTGAGGAGGGGTACTCATGTCAAGATGCCCCCATTCTCACCCTGTATCCTATCTCCACAGAGCAGAGCGTGGACACAACAGGACTTAGGATGGAGTTTGCTGGCTGCTTTTGGGAGTGAGCCAGAGCAGGGGGGAGCCCACATCCCAAAACCCTACCCCAGTCATGAACTCCCTCCTGCATCCCAAGCCCCTGCCCCAGCCCCGAGCACCCCTGCATCCAAATTCTCTTCCAGAGCCTGCACCTAGAACCTCCTCTGGTACCCCAAGGGCCTGCCCCAAGCTCAGCTCAGAGCCCCTCCCACACTCCAAATCCCTTAATCCAAGACCAGAGCCTGCCCCTCCCCCAACCTGCTGCCCCTGCCCAGTGAAAGTGAGGGAGGATGGAGTGAGCAGGGGGTGGGGCCTCGGAGAAGGGGCACAAAGGAGGTGGGGCAAGGGTATTTGGGTTTGAGGTAGATCTTGGATTGCACTTAAATTAAAGAAGTGATCTCATGCTTAAAAAGGCTGGAGGCCCTGGCTTTAAGGTATATACCTATCTCATAGAACTGGAAGGGACCTTGAGAAGTCATTGAGTCCAGCCCCCTGGCCTTGGGGCAGGACCAAGTATCGTCCCTATATGGCCCCCTCAAGGATTGAATTCACAACCCTGGGCTTAGTAGGCCAATGCTCAAACCACTGAGCTATCCCTCCCCCCCAAGAAGTGCTACAGGACTCCTTGTGTTTGCAGATATGGACTAACATGGCTACCCCTCTGCAACCCAACAGGCAGGGGCGGATATAGGGCAGGGTGAGCGGGGCGGCCGCCCCAGGCCCCGTGCTTCAAGAAGCTCCACGCATGTGCCGTGGCAAAGGGGGGCCCCTCGAAAATGTGCTGCCCTGGGCCCCGCAAAATGGTCATCTGCCCCTGCCAACAGGTATCTTGTATTTAATAAATAAGCTCCTTTTTCCCAGCTGGAGGTGGGATTGGAAATGGATCCAAACCAAAACCTTGAATTAATGCATCCTCACACTTTGGGAAAGATCCAGGTTTGCCCATCTTGACATGGGCTCCTCTCTAACAGGGATTCACCTCTGTAATTTCTTGCCATATTATTCTTGGGCTAGTGAGTGTTTCCTTGTCTAACCCAGGACCGCTTTTTAGTTCTTGCATTTGTCAAGCTCCTTGCACAGTGAGCTCCTGCTCCATGATTACAGCTCCCAGGCACTGCGGCAATAATTATCCGTGCAGGAAGGTTAAAACTTTCCTCTCTAGAGACTATAACTCAAGCTCTAATGGTCTAGAGCAGTGGTGGACAACCTGTAGCCTGAGGGCTGCATGTGGCCCATGGGGGTTCTGTGCAATGTTCCCTCTAATTTTTCCATCCATATGCAGAAGAAATGTTGTTCCATGCATCGAGGCATGTGTGGATGTGCACCACCATTAGAAACACATGCTGCCGGCTGCAGTTGTGGTGAGTGCACTGCTAATCAGCTGGGTGGCATTTAAATCTCTCCTGAGTAGCCATCCAACTGTCCAGTTCACAGGGAACACCAGTCCCGTGTGGGGGCCGCGAGACATTTTATTTACTGTTGACCACGTGACAGATTCTGCAGGTTTTCATCCATGTAATTTTTTTCCTATTGATATTACTAAAATGACACTTCACGCAAAGCAAGGGCATGTACAGTGAGGTGCGTGCTGATTGCATACAACACTGACCGTGAGAGTCGTGCGCTCTCCTCTGCATCCAATCAAAGCCCTGCTATGGTTTAGTCGGCTCATAAGAACATAAGAACGGCCATACTAGGTCAGACCAAAGGTCCATCCGGCACAGTACCCTGTTTGCTGACAGTGGCCAATACCAGATGCTCAGAGGGAGGGAACACAACAGGTAATGATCAAGCCATCTCTCTCCTGCCATCCATCTCCACCCTCTGACAAACAGAGGCTGGGGACACCATTCCTACCCATCCTGGCTAATAGCCATTTATGGACTTAACCTCCATGAATTTATCTAGTTCTCTTTTAAACTTGTTATAGTCCCAGCCTTCACAACCTCCTCAGGCTCCCCCCACAAATTCTGGCTATGTCAGCACAGTGAGCAAAACGACCATAACCTAGGAGACCATCTTGGTTACGACAATCTAACTGAGTTGAAGAAGCACCATTCACACGGCCCTCTCATTAGCCTAGGTTCCCATCACTGGTCTAGTGCCAAACTACCCAAACACTGAAAACAAGTAAAACAAGGAGAAGGAACCCCGAAATGTCAAAGTTGGCAAAAAAATGAGATGGGCAGGTTTTAAAGTATTATGTAGCAGAAGACACTATTACAGTCAGTGCCTTCATTCAATATATAAGTAAAATACATTGCAAAAGATACAGCCATCTAGTGCTAGGTATTGAATTCTCTGTGGTGTACTCATAATACACCACTTCTAGTTTGGAGGTGAGGTAATATTTTATTGTTTAATTTTATTCCTTTTGCATTAACCTTTACTAGATGAATTCAGTTAAAATAGCTAGCTTCTCTCCCACTCATTTTATGCCTCCTTATTTCAGCCAGATGGCAAGGAGCAGACAAGAAGACTAATAGAAACACAGAATACTAAACAAGTGAATATAATTGGAGGCAGAGCTTGCCAGATACTCTAGGTGGAGAATTTAACCAAATGGACCTCTCTGGAAATGGCCAAATTCATCAAAACCTTTGGGATAGGATCAGTTCAGCAAATTTTCAAAAAAAATCTGATTTTCCAATCTGAGGCAGTTTTGTTTCAAAATTTAAGCTAATTTTAATCATCTAAAATATTTCTATCGACCTGAAACTAAAATTTATGAAAATTTGAGATGGACTATTTTGTCCCAATTCAGAGTGGGAATATTTTTGACGTTCCCTTTTTTTTTTTTTTTTTTTTTTTTTTGCAGGACAGGGAAACCATGACCAGCTCCAATAGGTGTCTTTCATAGAATCATAGAATACTAGGACTGGAAGGGACCTCGAGAGGTCATCGAGTCCAGTCCCCTGCCCTCATGGCAGGATCCAGTACTGTCTAGAACATCCCTGATAGACATTTCTCTAACCTACTCTTAAATATCTCCAGAGATGGAGATTCCACAACCACCTTAGGCAATTTATTCCAATGTTTAACCCCCTTGACAGGAACTTATTCCTAATGTCCAACCTAAACCTCCCTTGCTGCAGTTTAAGCCCATTGCTTCTTGCTCTATCTTCAGAGGCTAGGAAGAAAAGTTTTCTCCCTCCTCCTTGTGACACCCTTTTAGATACCTGAAAACCGCTATCATGTCCCCTCTCAATCTTCTCTTTTCCAAACTAAACAATCCCAATTCTTTCAGTCTTCCTTCATAGGTCATGTTCTCTAGACCTCTAATCATTCTTGTTGCTCTTCTCTGGACCCTCTCCAATTTCTCCACATCCTTCTTGAAATGTGGTGCCCAGAACTGGACACAATACTCTAACTGAGGCCTAATCAGCGCAGAGCAGAGCGGAAGAATGACCTCTCGTGTCTTGCTCACAACACATCTGCTAATGCATCCTAGAATCATGTTTACTTTTTTTGCAACAGCATCACACTGTTGACTCATATTTAGCTTGTGGTCCATTATAACCTTGAGATCCCTACTGCCATACTACTTCCTAGACAGTCACTTCCCATTGTGTATGTGTGAAACCGATTGCTCCTTCCCAAGAGGAGCCCTTTGCATTTGTCCTTATTAAATTTCATCCTGTTTACCTCAGACCATTTCTCCAATTTGTCCAGATCATTTTGAATTATGATCCTATTCTCCAAAGCAGTTGCAACCCCTCCAAGTTTGGTATCATCTACAGACTTAATGAGCATACTCTGTATGCCGATATCTAAATTGATGATGAAGATATTGAACAAAACCGGTCCCAAAACAGACCCCCGTGGAACCCCACTTATTACTCCTTTCCAGCAGGATTGTGAACTGTTAATAACTACTCTCTGGGAATGGTTATCCAGCCAGTTATACACCCACCTTATAGTAGCCCCATCTAAGTTGTATTTGCCTAATTTATTGATAAGAATATTAGGCGAGACCATGTCAAATGGCTTACTCAAGTCTAGGTATACCACATCTTTAATTACACTCTGTGGTAAACCGTTGAGTAATCATTGGTCTCCCATTATACAAATTAAAATCTCTGCCAACCTCACGTTTAATGAAAACTAAACCACAGGCTGAACCTCTCTAGACCAGCACCCTCAGGACTTGACTGGTGCTGAACCAGAGAATTTGCCAGATCACGGGAGGTCAATATTGTCTAGCATCATTACCAACACATCCACTGGTTATTAGGGTCTTAGAAGACATTGAAGGGTAAATTAGAGCTGAACAGCAGCACAGAACACAGAGAGCCAAGACTAGTAGCTTTAAATTAACTATGGGACTGCAGGAAACTTGGCCACATCTATGCTAAGTGGACACCTGGCTAACTAAAATCATGCTGGATCACCGATGTTGCAGGACGGAGAGTCCTGGACTAGAGAGGTTCAACCTGTAATTTTTAAAACAAAAACACAATATCCCTAGCATCTATTTGCCTGAAAATGGATAAACAGGAAAGAGATCATGTGATGATTACCTGTTGCGTTCCCTTGCACTGGGGCATCTGGTACTGGTCACTGTTGGCAGACATGATACTGGACTAGATGGACCTTTGGTCTGACCCAGTATGGCCGTTCTTATGTTCTAACGTCCTGCAATTGTCTGCTCCTTGAAGATTCTACCTGTCATGTCTAAAGATGTATGAATTGCCCATCTGCTCATGGTAAAGTGATATCCAATCAACAGACAGTGTATGGGTAAGATTTTCCAAAGCACGTCATGTTGACCTAAAATTATTTCCATTAGAGTCCAGTAGAGTTTTACCATGGATTTTAAAGGGAACAGAGTTAGGACAACGTCATCTCATGTTAGTAATAGCTGTAATCTTACCAATGGCAAATAGTTCTATGCCCATATTTTTCAAGGTCTGGGCAGACAGGTTGACATCATCCTGTGATTTTCCATCAGTCAAGAGGATCACCAGCTTAACTGCATCTGCCCTGGAGCCAGCTTCAGGTTTCAGATTTTGTTCTAGGACATGGGACAAAGCAAGGCCTTGGGAAAAAAGAAGAGTGGAATTAGATCCCTGAAAATCAGATTGCAAAGATGTACAAACACCCTTCTCAGAACTTAGGCCATATCTTCTCTCCAGGGAAGATTGACACTGCCAGGATCGATCTTCCGGAGTTTGATTTAGTGGGTCTAATAAAGACCCACTAAATGGAACTCAGAGGTTACCCCTGTCGGCAGCCAGTACTCTTGCTCCTGCAAGGACTAAGGGAAGCTGATGGGAGTGTTTGCTCCTGTTGGCCTCCCGCTGTGGGGACAGCAGGGAAACTTTGAAACAAGGTACGTAGACTCCAGCTACATAATTAATGTATCTGGAGTTGTGTATCTTGATTTGACCTTCCCCTCTAGTGTAGACTTGGTCTTAGTCAAAACCGGATACAGGCAGTCCCCAACTTACGTGGACCAGACTTACGTCGGATCCCTACATACGAAAGGGGCTTTTCACGCCGCGGAGGACGCGGGCGGTGAGACCGCCCAGACACGTCCTCCGCGGTGAGAAAAGCCGCTCCGCGTCTCCCTGGTCTGCTAGTCTCCCTGGTCTCCCAGGCTTTTCTCACCGTGGAGGACGTGGGCGGTCCCGCCGCCCACATCCTCCGTGGCGAGAAAAGCCACTCCGCGTCCCCCTGGTCTACTGGGGGGAGCCCCCCAGCAGTCCAGGGAGACGCGGAGCGGCTTTTCTCACCGCGGCTTTCCTCCGCGTCTCCCTGGTCTGCTCGGGGGAGGAGGGCAGCAGACCAGAGAGACGTGGAGCAAAGCCGCGGAGAGAAAAGCCGCTCCACGTCTCCCTGGGCTGCTGGGGTGAGGGGGGACAGCAAACCAGGGAGATGCGGAGCAAAGCCGGGCGAGAAAAGCCGCTCCGCGTCTCCCTGGTCTGCTCGGGGGAGGAGGGCAGCAGACCAGAGAGACGTGGAGCAAAGCCGCGGAGAGAAAAGCCGCTCCACGTCTCCCTGGGCTGCTGGGGTGAGGGGGGACAGCAAACCAGGGAGATGCGGAGCAAAGCCGGGCGAGAAAAGCCGCTCCGCGTCTCCCTGGTCTGCTCGGGGGAGGAGGGCAGCAGACCAGAGAGACGTGGAGCAAAGCCGCGGAGAGAAAAGCCGCTCCACGTCTCCCTGGGCTGCTGGGGTGAGGGGGGACAGCAAACCAGGGAGATGCGGAGCAAAGCCGGGCGAGAAAAGCCGCTCCGCGTCTCCCTGGTCTGCTCGGGGGAGGAGGGCAGCAGACCAGAGAGACGTGGAGCAAAGCCGCGGAGAGAAAAGCCGCTCCACGTCTCCCTGGGCTGCTGGGGTGAGGGGGGACAGCAAACCAGGGAGATGCGGAGCAAAGCCGGGCGAGAAAAGCCGCTCCGCGTCTCCCTGGTCTGCTCGGGGGAGGAGGGCAGCAGACCAGAGAGACGTGGAGCAAAGCCGCGGAGAGAAAAGCCGCTCCACGTCTCCCTGGGCTGCTGGGGTGAGGGGGGACAGCAAACCAGGGAGATGCGGAGCAAAGCCGGGCGAGAAAAGCCGCTCCGCGTCTCCCTGGTCTGCTCGGGGGAGGAGGGCAGCAGACCAGAGAGACGTGGAGCAAAGCCGCGGAGAGAAAAGCCGCTCCACGTCTCCCTGGGCTGCTGGGGTGAGGGGGGACAGCAAACCAGGGAGATGCGGAGCAAAGCCGGGCGAGAAAAGCCGCTCCACCTTTCCCTGGTCTGCTGCCTCCCCCCCCCAGCACTAGCTGCATCTCCCTCCCCGCCCCCCAGCAATGGGAACATTTATTTTCCGCAAGATCCCTTCTAGACTGGCGCTTTTTTCCGACAAAACCCCGAGCCGGAAAAAAGCGGCAGCCATGTTCATGCAAATGCCATGGGCGATATTTAAATCCCCCGCGGCATTTGCAATTCCGAAGTGTCTCATTAGCATCCCTTTTCCGGAAAAGGGTGCCAATGTAGACACAGCCCATGTGTGGGGGTGGGTGAATGTGAGAGAAGCAAAGGCCCTTACTCCTTCGTTACTAATAGCTTAGGTCAGAGATATCTGCACTGTGTACAGCAATTGCACTGTATTCTTGTAAATGAGGCTGCTTTTATTCTATCCAGTTCAGACATAGCCAGCCCGAATCGTCCTCCTTTAATGAGGAAGTTGCTACGTTAATGCTCATGCAGGGTGCTACATGCAGCCAGCCAGGGACAGAGAGTTGGGGAGCTGCAGATAAGGCTTGTATTACCTGTGAAAGTGTTGCCACCTTTATATCGCAGGTTCCTCACCGCCTCTAACACCTCGTCCCTTGTGACATAGGTGTTCAGGTTCCACTCTGTCCGTGGATCACTGCTATACTGGGACAAACCTGTGGAAGGCACGAGCTGTCAACAGATGGATGAAAGCTGCTCCTTTCCAGGAGTGCTATAGGCAGGCAGTGTTGTCTATTGGATAGAGCACCAGACTTGTGGCTGCCAATTGTGGATTTACTTCCTGTTCCACTGCAGGCCTTTTGCAGACAAGTCAGCTCCCTGCGACTATTTCACCACCTCCCTAGGAAGCTAACGGTGCTTACCTCCCTTGCAACGCACACTGCGATCTGAAACGCCACCGGAGACCTGTTACTGTAGTTCTTTCCCAGGGTGAAAATTCAGGGATAATTCTATCTAAAATTAGCCTGCTTCCTCTTCCGGCCCACAGCTCCCTGCTGCTCTCCCCATTCACCACCCACTCCAAATGTGCTTCAGCTTTCCCCCATTAGTGACACTGGCACAGCTTGCCAAAAGCAGCCTTTATTCTGAAGCTTTTCCACTGTGGGTGCAATTCGGGCCTGAGGTACTCTCACCCCGTTAGGAGTGCTTAGCTTCCTCTCCCCGGCCTGTGACTGCCTAGGAGCCCAGCAGGCCCACTGACAGGGGAGGGCAGCCCTAGGGCCTGGTGTTTTAAAAGGGCCCAGGGCTCTCTCCTGCCACAGAGGCAATGGCTGTGGCTAGAGCCCTGGGCCCTTTAAATCGTGGCCAGAACCCCAAGTGGTAGGTGCCAGGCAGAGCGGAAGGACTGGCTGGGGGAGGCGAGCCCTAACCCCGCCCCTTTTGCCCAAGGACCCATGAGGGCCTAGAGCCAGCTCTCCCATCTTGCCTAGGGCCCTGCAAAGTCTGTCGGCAGCCTTAGAGCTCAGTCATGGACCAGGACCCCACTGAGCAAGGCACTGGATGTCTGAAGTGCTCCTCAGAAAATGGCCCACCACATGCACTGGAGTTTCTCATTACAACCACTAGAGGTCAGAGCGTTACCTCAGACAAGAATTCCTGTCAATACCCAAGCCTATGACCCAGCATATACAAGAGGTTGATAACAAAATGCAAACATGTAAACTCTACGGCTGCACGGAGGGGGGCAAAAACCAGACATCAGACCCTCTTGATCCTTCCAAGGACTGTGCCTATGACCTGGCACTCAAACAGCTGCAGTTATTATCCTTCTTGCACCACCACTTAGCAGTGCCTTCGTGAAAACCAGCACCAAGATTAGCGGATTATTTAGGATTGTCGGACGGTCAAGAAGCACGTCCAAGTGTAGAATCCATCCCCCAGAGAGGAGCTGTGCTGGGTTCTGTATAGGGAGGTATAGGGACAAGAATCTCTCTTACCGATCCTTATCTTATCCCGGGCAATATTGAAAGGGGATACCAAGGCGCTCAGGAACTCCCTGACAAACTTGAAGTTGTTGCGTCCGATACTCCAGGACCCGTCCACCAGCAGGACGATATCAGTCGCTGCGGCTGTGTCACACTGAAACCGAGAGCCTAGGAGACAAAGTGACTGAAATAGTTCGGTGGAGAGAGCTCTCGCATCACCAGTCCAGACATGTCCCCTTGCTTCCAGGCAAGAATCCAGTCTGAAATTCCAAAGCTAAAACTTTCTTAATTAGAACTAGGGGCCAGTAGAAACCATTTGGTGGTTCGATGGACGAATGATCTGTGATTCCCCCAGCATGGCAGTGACCCGTTTAGAGCAGTGGTTCCCAACCTGTGGTCGGCAGTCCCCTGATGGTCCACAACGGAACTGCGGGGGTCCGTGGAAAGTATAAAAATAAGGATCACGGCGGGCCCGATCCTTATTTTTCTTTTCTTTCTTTCCTTTTCCCTTTTTTTTTTCTCCCCCAGGGAGGAGGGGTCCATAAAATTTGAATAGATTGAAAAGGGGTCCGTATGCTCGAAAAGGCTGGGAACCTGTGGTTTAGAGCATTAATTAGCCTGTGATATTACTATCTCAGTGCTGTAATCTCCGCCTGGGTCTGCAGAGTCAAGTGTATGCTCTATCGCTGTACATTGTCTGCAGATGAAAAAAAATGGCCAAGGCCAGAATTAGAACCGATTTTCTTGCTTCCAAGGGGAGAGGTCAAGAACAAGGCCTCACCTCTGCTTGGCCACTGGCTGAGCCCAATCTTGCCTATAGCATCCGCACAGAGGTGTGCAGGCGGGAAGGGTGCGTTCTCACAGTTAAGAAGTTAAACCTTTCAGGAAATGTGCCTTGTCTAAACACGGCTCTGTGTAAACTGTCAACTCAATTACAGTCCGTCTAATCCAGCTCTTCTCTTTATATCTCACTAAATCTTACTGCATCACAGGTGATTATTTCGTTCCATTCCAGCTGCAGATCCCCTACGGGCTATCAGGAGTCAGATGCTTTCTCTAGACTCAATCTAATTTCTTCCTCAACTGGTGGCACCATCTATCCGTGCGCCTCCCTTCTCAGCCCATGCCAGCCGCTGGCAGGGGATAAGATCAGGCACATCACGGATAAACGGCACCTTTCCCCTGTTTCTTTCCATGCACAGGTTTTACTTTTTGTGGGTGAACCCCAGAGGGTACCCAGCTGCACAGCAGCAGAAAACACATGGGGCAGCCAGATTCCACCGCTGCCTAGATTCCTTCCCATAAGTGCCCAGATCTGGCCATTCAGTTGTCATTCCCCATTGACAAGACTGAGGGAGCAACCTCCAGCAGTGCTTAGGCTGTGTCTATTACACTGGTTCTCAAACTTTAAGACCTACGGCCCACCTGGCTCAAGGCAGACCACCAGCCAACCACTCATGATGGCAAAATGGGGGCAAGAAGGGGAGGGGGATGGGGTCTGCCTGGAAGGTTGGGTGCAGAAGTGAGCTGAAGGTGGGGGGTCTAGGAGGGAGGGAGGGTGCAGCAGCGGGGTGGGGGTCCTGGGTCTCGGTGGGAGGGGGTGCATGGGAGGGAGATGACAGTGTGGGGTCTGGGCATGAGGTGGATGGGGGGCATTTACCTGGCTCCTGCCACTCCCAGGCACCACCCCTCTGCTGCTCCCATTGGCCACAATTCCGGCCAATGGGAGCAGTGGGGAAAGCCTCCAGGCAGCCATGGGGAGGGGAAGCAGCAGCATATGGAGCCACTTCCTTCCTCCATGAGCCAGAACGGGCCCCCCATCCCAGCAGGAAGCTAGTGCTAGCGCTCCAACCTCACAGGGGAGGACCGCGGGGATGGAGTGTCAGCACAGGCTCCCTGCTGCTGGAGGGGGCAAGTCCTAAGGCCACAGCCCACCTGCAAGACACTAGTGGTCCGCAGACCACACTTTGAGAACCACTGAGCTAGAGGCTTTGTATTCAGCCAGCTGTAGTGCAGCTTGTAGGAAGGAAGGAAGCTTCCTCTTGGTGATGCCATACAGATACCTAGGGGATTCCCAGTAGAACCTCCTCCCTTTGCTTGGGTTCTTCCCCGGCAGTTGCCTCTTTAGGAAATGGTCCGTCTTTTAAAGCCAAATGACTTTCCCGAGTGCATGCTGGAGGGGTGGAAGCTACGTTAGAAATAAGACTCACCTCTCTTTAAAGTTTCCTTTGTGTGTTTTTCTTTGCCGAGATCGCCTTGCTCGGATTTTGCGGGGCTGCGCTGAGTCGTTTGCAGGGCTGTCGGGGTTTCTGTCACACTGAACTCAGTGTTTGGTTTCCCTTGGAGGGTTTCACTCGGGCCCTTGGCTCCTGCTGCCTTCTGCCTTCTCCGCTCAGGTCTGTCTTTTGCTGCACTCCATGGCACCACAATGAGAAACGGCCCATCCTCACCAGCCCATCATGCACGTCCCAGTCAGTGAAACGAGCTGAATGTGCTGGAACACACTGGCTAAGTGTGTGTGTCTCCCCGCCCAGTGGCTGGCACAAGAGCCTATAAGCCCGAACACTACTGCTGCGAATGGGGTTTCTCTCAGGGTGTGTCTACACTGCACCCGGAGCTCAAAATAAGCTATGCAATTTAAGCTATGCAAATGGCACAGCTTATTTCAAGTTAATTTCAAAATAAAGCGCTATTCTGAAACATCCCTTAATCCTCATGGAACGAGGTTTACAGGGATGTCGGAAAGATATTTCAGAATAACGGGCGTGTTGTCAAGACACAAAATAGCACTAGATACACTCTTGGTGAAGAGGTAGGGAACCAATGTTCCGAGCAAGCTGCATGTGTTTGTCTACTCAGGAGAGATTCAAACACCACCCCGTTGATTAGCAAAGCAATCACAGCTAAACTTTTGTTTCTCCTGGTGGTGCACATTTGCACATGCCTTGGTGCACATAAAAATTTATTCCACACATGGATGGAAGAGATTAGAGAGAGATTAGGGAGGGACCTAGATTTTTCGGAACTAAGTCTTAAATTCTGTCACACAGTAGATCATGCTCTCCTGTATGGTTGTGCTAAGTGTTACAATTTAAGACTGTAATGCCTGCATATAACTAGCCATAGATATTGTTAAATTGGATGGTGCTTGATTACCAGATTTGAGCTGAATTCCTGAGAGCCCCGTGTGTGCACAGTGAAGCTTCATCTAGCCGGAGGGGAAGCATAAACAGTATGCCATCTACTAAGGACATGAAGTAAGATTTACTCCTAGGCTGAATTTGGCCCCTTCTCAGGTTGGCTTTTAACTGATTAAAAGCTCAGGAAAAATAGGACCTTGTTTTCTTGGTGGGAGAACCCAGAGGTGAAGCTAGGAGAGGACTTGTCCTCACACGTCAACAAGACCCTTAGGAATGCCCCTGGATTCTCAGACATGACCCAGAACTGAAAGGCATCCTCTAGGAACACCCCTCCTCTTCCTCCCCCCATCTGCCACCCTACCTCTGGGTGGCTCTTGGCTTGTGCACTGACCCTGCACGTACCTGTCTGTGTGGTGGTTTCACTCAGGGCGGGGGACGTTGCCTTCACCTCTGGGATGAGCTCGGTTGCTGTATTTCTCACAGGGGGGGTGCTCTTTCCTGGAGCGGTCGCCGTATTCTTTTGGTTATTTCTAGCCTGCAAGATGTTTTTCAGCTCCTGAACTGTGAGAGCAAAGGAAAAGGAGGAGAAGTCAATGGAGTTGACATAAACCTGGTGTCACTGCAATTGGCCCCACACCCTACTGTCCACCAGCCCTCCGACCACACTCAAACCAACATGGAAACAATGCAACGCCATGTCTACACTGTGTGCCCCACACCCATCAGGGTACATCGACGCTGCCAGCAAAGCAGGAGACACACCCAAGCTAGCTCTGGTCAGGGTCTGGCAAACTACAGCAGCAGAAGCTTCAGTGTGGGCTAGCCTGCAAGTAACTGCCCAGTGCTCCGGTACAACCCCCGAAGCACAAGCAGCTGCGACTTCCTTGCTCCATTAAAGCTAGCCTGAGTGCGTCAGCGAGCTACGGCTGTAACGCTGAGAGGCGTAATCCAACCTGGGACCTCTGGAGCTTAGCGCTTGAGCTAAGAGCCAGCTGGCTCTCAGCAAAGGCTGTAGGACAGACGCAGGATTCTCTCTGGAAGTGGTCTCGGTGCCACTAGATGGGACAATACACCACACCCAGAAGAGGGGGAGGCTACATAGTCACACCCTGACTGCAACACACACTTAGAGCAGCGGTTCCCAAACTTTTTGGCCCACTGCCCACCCCACTCAACGCAAAGCTTTCTGTAGAGCCACAGCCAACCACTCATGAGGGCAAAATGAGTTCAGGAGGGGGTGGAGATGCAGAGTCTGAATGGGAGGATGGGTGCAGAATCAGGTTGAAAGTGGGAGGGTCTAAGTGGGAGGTTGGGGTAGGAGCGGGCTGAGGGTGAAGGGGTCTGGGTGGGAGGAAGGTTGGATGTAGGAGCGGGCTGAAGGTGGGGGAGTCTGGGTAGGTGGTTGGGTTCAGGAGTGGGCTGAGGGTGGAGGAGGGGGTGGAGATGCAGAGTCTGAATGGGAGGATGGGTGCAGAATCAGGTTGAAAGTGGGAGGGTCTAAGTGGGAGGTTGGGGTAGGAGCGGGCTGAGGGTGAAGGGGTCTGGGTGGGAGGAAGGTTGGATGTAGGAGCGGGCTGAAGGTGGGGGAGTCTGGGTAGGTGGTTGGGTTCAGGAGTGGGCTGAGGGTGGAGGAGGATGGGAGGGAGGG